TACCAAGATCTATATATCTACGAGATTGACAATTAAGTGTATACTTAACATTATTTACTCTTTCATTACAGTAGTACCCAGTTTCTTTAGGCCTACACACAAGTGAACAGTCTGGGGACAAATTTTTATTAATTCTGGATGTCCCCTCATGTAAACATGTTTTTATTGAAATGACTGATCACTTTTTCCTGGGGAGAAATTTCCTTGCATGAACTACACAAGCACTTTGTACAGTGTACCTCTGAATGATTCTACCACAAGTTCCCCATTTCACACATGGACATACAAACACTGAAGTTTTCCCTGCAGCTCTCCCCCTGATATATATTGATCTACTATTAGGATGATACTGTATAAATTTTAAGATAACTACTGAACATTACTACATTTTAAGGTTGATACTACTGGGATACGAAGGTCTTGACTGTAGCATTAAGACAAAAGGAACTGTACTCTGAATGGAAGCACTTGCATTTGACAGAAACACTGAAACCCAGCAAACAAGCTTTTGTCAACACTATATAGCAAGCTGATGACTGGAAAACTGAATCAAGGAATGTCCAGAGCTGACAGATTATAGCTGGCAATAGAAAAATATTTCCACAAGTTGTTTTCAATATTAATTTTATTTCAATATTCCTGAACCCAGTCTTCCACAGACGTTCTAAACTTGTTTTACCAGCTGTAATGGCTGCTAAAATGACCAAAGCTGAAGTCTGCTTGGAGAGTTGTTTACTGGAAAGACCACTTCTAGATTTGGCTGTGGTCCAAGTTTCAAGTTTACCTGGAAAGTTAAACTAACAGGAACAAGGCACCTCAAGAGGTTTATGTTATACTGACTGCAGTTATATCCAGATCAAAATTTTAGCCCATATTATGTGTTATTACCAATTTCTGAAAATAGAGTAATTTGAAAATACATTTAGCCCAGCTATTAAGAAAAAGCGTAAGGCAATTCTACATTAATATACTGAATAATACTACTAGTAAATAATTCATTCTTTTGTTCTGACGAGGCATGGAAAACAAATGGTCTGCATTGTATCAAGCGAAACTCATCAATATTACTGTACAGTACATATCAGTTATGACTTGCAGAACACTCTACATTCGGCGATAACTTCCAAGTCTTGCATGGCAGTTAGGACAGGAGTGAATAACATCTTTGCAACCATCCAAACAGAATGGAATCAAACAACAACCTAACCAGCCGCTGCAAGACAATAAAAAATTACAATTATTGCAATGGGTAAAATATTGTTTGTTCCAGGCTCTCAGTTTGACTTTTGTGGGGGAGAGGAAAAGGGGAACACGACAAACATTACAGAATTGCGCCAATTGAAAAGCGCCACCCAGGAAAAGTGGGGTACCCATGATGCTTTGCAGGAGCACCGACCTGTGAATGAGGTTGCAAAGGCTACTGCTGGTTTCAGTCTCTTAAGATTCTTAAGTGACAAATTCCCAAAAAGAAGTTAAAAGTTCTCCCCTGGCATCCTTCAAAACAATACAGATACATGTACAGTTGGGGCAATTAGTATTGTTTGAAAGTGTTGAAATGCACTTTTCATCTGAAAAGGCCTGATGTGTACATATCAACAGAATGTGGAGTGTTTACACAAAACCACACAAGTAAACTCTCACTGCAAAATATTGAACCGCAAAGTGGCATACCCCTTGAGAAAATCTAGCCATCTCTTCGTGTTTTTAAGTAAAACTACTGATTTATGTGAAGGACAGACTTTGTTATGGAAGCATTTTTGACCCTTAAACATCGCCGATCGAATGTGCTAAATGCTTGCTTCTGAAAGCAAATATATTTAATCATATCCATTGCTTAGTTTAGAACTGACAGCAACCTAGGCAGCAACAATACAATAACGAAAGGAGTTATATTTGCTGTCAAAGCATTGAAAAGTGAAATGTGATACAACATGTCTTTGCTTAATGGCAATATTAAGTAATTTATTTAAACCATCCTCTTGCTAACATAAATTCTACTGTTTGAACATTTTTGTCAACAAAAGGAATGTTTTTGATCAACATTTGGCAAACACAGCAGACAGTGGTATTTCATGCCCTCACCCCCTTACTGAAAAGGCGATTTCAACTTTCATGGTCTCATGCTGCCAGCTGATAAATTTGCATAGAATGTAAACAACTGATCAACATATGCCAGCCAATTCAGACATATCAGAGTACTTTAAAACTTTCCAGAAGATTTTGTACATAATAAAGTGCACATTTGATTTAAAATATCAATTTGCAAATTAACATTAAAAGTGGTGAAAGCAAGAATTTTTCCCTAGAATATTAAAATATTATCTGACATCTCTGCTTACCAGCAGCATAAGTTATATTTGATGAAACACACTGTCTTAAGAATTACCTCTATTCTTCTCTGATGAATAGGGCAAAATTTGAGCAGTCAGATCTAGAACAAATACTCTTGAAAATGACCTACAATGGGTATTGCCATGAGAAAGGTCTTGATTGACAGGCCTTACGCATGCTCTCTGTCTCCTTTTTTGCTCATTTGCATTTTCCTGTGTGTCGTTTTCCAATGGGCACAATTCTGTAATGTTTGTGCAAGAGCAAGGGGGACCATCACGTTTCTTCCACTCATTCTTCATACAAGTTCCCAGGCGACTACTTACCAAACGCCCAGAACAGGCTAATAAAATATCAATCATACAGTCAGTCAAGTTGAACAGGATGGAACTTCACCTCTAGAGATGGCAAATGGTTGGGATCCAGGGACAATTAATGATCTGATCTCAAAATCTTAACAGCATTTGAGATGAGTCACGAAGTCTCATTTTGTGTGTTCCTTTTGCCTTTGGAGTATAAAATTGTTTCAGACTCAGTCTTGGATTTTCTAACAAGGGTCTTGGCATGTTGACGAGTCTTAGATTTTACTATTCATCATCCACTTCAGTCAGTCCTTTCTCCGCATTTACTGCATGTATGACCAGTAAACATAGAGGATTAAGTTCATTCCAGTTCTTGGATATGTAAGACCCAACTTGGTCATTAATAATTGTTGACGCCCCTTACATACATGTAAGTGGGTTGCTACTTCACAACAGGTTACTGTCATTACCCAGCCCTTCTGTACTTTGCTATGGTTTACCCACGAGGGTTCAAAAAAAAAAAAACTTGAATTCCAGCTTGTACTTGGGACAAGTAAAGTGTAGCTCTCAAATTTTGCTTACCATGGGCAAATCTTAGTTTGCTCTTTTAATGCTTTAGATGGCAGACAACTTACCTGATCCCTTGCCCATTGGGCAAGTGAGAATGAAAAGCTACTTGCCCAGAAGGAAAATCTACTTGTCCTGGACAACCGGACGGCAGTTTTTTTGAGCCCTGAATTACCATTACAATTCACTGCTAATCATTTATACCACTGGGCCTGGTTGTTCAAAAGATAACCAACACTTCCTAATCCAGGATTAGAGGATAATTAAGTATTTCATTTCTTTTGAATAAGATTGGTTTTTGTTGTTGTTACATATGTCTTGTAGGGTAGGATCATAATCAATGTCAAAACCAAATACAGAAAAAAATGAAGAGATATGTCACTGAAAACCTCTTAAACTAGTCTGAGAATAAAATCCATGCTAATCCTGGAGTCATCATGCTTTTGAACAACTGGGCTGGGTGGAGAGAGGGTCTGTAATTGGAGTTATAACAAGAACAGGAAATAGTATCCCCAGCTTTAACCCTTGCGATCTGAATTGCACAACTTTTTAAAGTGCACAACAAAATTGTACACTATACATCCTAATTGCTAAAATGAAAGTAAAATTGAAAGAGATATTTACCCCACAAGACAAATAGCTCCAGCAGCAAGCCATGTTAAGGTTCCATCTTGATATGTTGTACATGTAATGATGTGCGTCTGGCAGTGCGGACACACCATGCTAAGCGGACACTCACCAAAAGCCATGTTCATAATAATTGGACCTGGTGGTGTAATGATGGTTGTTGTGGTTCTAGGAGGAGGTACATAAGGCCGAGGCTGGGGATAAGCCTGGGGTGGAAGGTTCCCTCCTGTCTGCTGGTATCCCGCTGAAAAAAAAAAA